GGCCTGTTTCCCTGCTTTGCTTGCCATGAGACCTGGATCGTTTGAGTGCCCAGGCAGTTGTCCTCATGATCACTTTCTCTCTTCTTGACCTGGCATGTGCACGCTTGGGCACAGATGACGCAGCTGCTGCTTGAGTACGGCTCCGAGGTGAATTTGACCAGCCGGACGGCCGACATGGCTCTGCACATTGCAGTCAAGAAGGGACGCTTTGACTGCGCCATGGTACTGCTGACACATGGGGCCCACACCAATGCCCGGGGCCAGGATGGCAACACACCACTGCACCTGGCCATGAAGGTGAGTTTTCTGCAGAAGCTGCTGGGAAGGAGTGAGAGGATTTTCTTGAACAGTTGAGGAGGGACAGACTCCTTTGAAATTCTAGCTGTTGTCTTTCATGGGGTGATCTGTTGTGGGCGCTTTGGCTAATGAAAAGAGGAGGGAGGGCATGAGCAATGATATCTGTTGTGGGCTCTTTGGCTAATGAAAAGAGGAGGGAGGGCATGGGCAATGATGTAGCCAAGGGGAGCATGGCTCTTGACTGAGCTTTCTCTTGTGCCCTAGCATGACCACCTGGATATGATCAAAGCGATCGTCGTGTTTGGAGGAGATGTTGAGATCCCCAATGATTTCGGGGAGACACCAGGGTTGTTGGCAGCCAGGAGCAGCAAAGGTGAGGGACCATCTCAGCAGCCTTACAGGGTTGCGTTACAGTGCATTCTGTCTCCCCTTGGTGGCCAAAACAGTATCTTGGGGAGAGGTGAAAACATTCCAAGCATGGGTGATGCTTCTCCAACATGCTTTCCCAGCTTCTAGTCGCTTACAGGGTAGGCACTTCCTGAGCTTGTGGCACTTCCTGAGCTTGTGGCATAGGCTTTGTATTAATAACCCTTGATGAATTTCTCTTCTATGAGACAGATGCAAGAGGAAAAGCTGGCACGCACTCCCCTCCTTTCAAGCCATGGTGTCAGGCACTGCAGGCTCACAACAGGATGATGCAGTGCTGCTGAACTGCCCAGGCAGTTCAGTAAGCAGGCACAGGCAGTTCTTCAGTGGCAAGAAGTGTGTGGCACATACCCTTGAAGCTGCACAGCATTGGGTACCCCTGCTGTGCACAAGTTCTGCTGCCTGGTGTTCAGGGAGAGATATCTGGGACATGTTTTCCCCTTCCCTGGCTCATCCCAGAGGTTGATGAGGGTCAGAGCTGCTGTGAATTTGGCAGAGACCCCCCAGTGTGTGCGTGCGCTGATTCTCTTTCTGATCTGTGACTCCCCCTTCGTCACCTAAGGTGCAAACCGGAAAGTGCTCTTAGACCTGCTGCAAACTGTAGGGACCGAACGCTGCCACCCACCCAACCCTGACTCCCCAAGCCTGGCACCATCTGCCGCCTCCTTCCTGGAAGGCCAACCTTCCTCACGGAGCAGCTTCAACAGCTTAGGTAAACCTTTCCCTGGCCATCCCTCATTCTCTTCCCTTCCTTCACAGTGCTGTCTCAGATCTCTTCTTCAGATGGACCATGCTCTGGGGACTGTCTCCTAGCTCTCAGTTTCTGGTGACTGTCCTCATTCAGCTGTTGCAGGATCCCATCTCTTTTCTCTGCTTTTCCTGTGTGTGTATTCTAAACTCTTGGACTCTAAACTTTTGTTTTATAGACCTGACACAATGCAGCTCTGTAAAAAGGAAAGGGAAGACTGATTCCCTCACTCCTCTGGAAGAGGTGTAGGACTTAGTTGCCTGCATGTGCTTTATCCAATGGGTTATGTACAGAAGGGGAAGTACTTGCTGGTCTGCCTTGAGGACCTCCCAGTGTTGTGCTGGGCACAAGAAAATTGGAAGCATCACTCATTCAGATCCTGGAGGCCAGCAGCTGGGAGAGGGAAGGGTTGAAGCCCAAGGATAAGCGACCCTGGTCACAGAGTTTACATAACGCATAGGAAAAGCCTATCTTAGGACATATGATTGTGTCGTGACTTGTGCTCTGTACTGCCCAGACTATGTGAATAAGCCTGTGAGTCTATTCTAGGTCCTGGGCTTTCTTCTGCTAAGGAGCTCCAGAGCTCAGCAGAGGCAGCATGAGGGATTACGGAGTGGGTAGTGGGTGAGTTGGCTTGGAGGGAGGCTCTGACCCTCATAAGGGGCATACAGGCAGATAACAGTTGTTTGTGGTCTACTTCCCCTTTCAGGTTGGTGGTTTCCTTTGCAAAGGGCCTCCTGTGGGGCCAGAGGATACCCCCCCTAGACCCTGGGGTGTGTCTGTGTCACCACAAGTCTCGCTGGCTGGTGACACCAGGACTTTCTTCTCACCATGGCCTTGTGAAGGTGACACCCTCAATTTCAGTTCTGATGCAGTGACAGAGCAAGGCATGGACTCTGGGCCTTGAAGAAACTCCTCACCACATCCATTGTCATCCACAGCTGCCTTCCGGCCTGGGTGCTGGCAGGAGTATTTAACTACTCTCCCCCTGTTCTTTCTTCTTTTGGTTTTGCAGGCGGGCTTCTCACCTAGGCTGGATTGGTGCCCCGCACTTAGGGTGGCCTGGGTGTGCATCAGCTGAGGGGTAATGACAAGCCACCCCGTCCCCACAGCTCTCCTGCCTAGGTTACCTCGCAGGAGTAGATTTAGGTTTTATCTTATGGCTTGCAGTAAACTGCATAGTGGGCACACTACTAGGCTCTGCCTTGTCTCTTGCCTACTGTGCTCATCATCTGCTCCTACAAATCCTTTGTCTTTGCCAGTGCATCTCCAGCTGCCTGCTCTAAAGGACGGGGTTTCTCCTCTTTGGTGTGGAGTTTAATCTGGGGGGGTACCTGGTGGCTATGGGTAAGATGGCTTGTGTTTCCTGCAGGGAGCTTTATTCGATTGGGAAGGGAGTTGGATGGTCTGTGTGCGATTATGGTAGAAATGATTTACTGCAGGAGTGGGAGGTTTGGGTACCCTGACCAAGCTTTCTGGGGGCAGAGAGAAAGTAGGAATAATAGGTGAAGGTTTTCTAATTGATTAAGTATAATTTGGTTGACTAATATAGCTGAGGCATGTATCAGAGGGTTCAGGTACCAAAGTGCGCTCTAACTTTTTTTCCTTTTGCACATTCATGGCCCTCTAGGGTACAAGGACCTTCTGTATGTTTCCACAACGCTCGGACAGTTGTTGAAGGCACCAGATGTTGTGGACTCGCCCAGTGAGGGTAGAAGAAAGTAAGTGAGGAACAGCTTCTGTCCAGGCTCCCGTGCGACTTGAAGGTGAAAGCTGTGTGTGTGAATTCTCCCCACCCACACCCATGGATGTGGCATCCTCAGAGCTGATGTTATTTAGTGTCCATTGACGTTGCGGTTTTTGCCAGGAATCCCCCTGTGCCCTGTTGCGGTAAATCTCTGTTCCCATAAAAGACCGCTGCCTGTTCCTGCCTGCAGCCCTGGAGCTGCAGTGGAGTCTGAACTAGCAGGTGAAACCCCTGCTCTGTCCCTCCCCTCTGCCACTGGGCACCAAACGCTGTTTTGGCTTTGTGATTTCCCCATCTCCACGCACTGCCCTGATGCTCACCCAGCTCCTTTGCCAGGCTGTGCACTGCCTTGGTAGTGCCTGCACCTCGCCTTGCATGGAGGGAGGGTTGGCACTGAAGTGCTGCTAGCAGGAGCTTGGGGCTGTCCCATTTTTGTTTATGAGACAATATCCATCACTGTGCAGTAAGGGATTCAGATGTGGTTTTGGCTGGTGAATGTTGCTAGTGTAGAGGTTAGAGATGGCTAAAAGAGCAAGTGGTGTTGCATCAGCTCTGACAAAGCTTATCTGGCTGTGTCCAGTCTTATTTGCATCTGAGGAAGCACTGCTGGATTTATTTGTTTGCTGATTACACTGTCCACAGCAGCATTCTAGTTAACGACCTACTTTCCCACCCCCAGGGCCATGTTCCCACATGGCATGCTGTGATTTGTAAGCAGTCCCACAGCTCCCAGTCATCTGTGTCTGTCTCTCTCCAGCCACGACCGTCTCCTGTGCCTGGATGGAGGGGGCATCCGGGGCCTGGTGCTCATCCAGCTCCTCCTGGCTATCGAAAAGGCTGCAGGCCGTCCCATTCGTGAGATTTTTGACTGGATCGCGGGCACCAGTACTGGGGGGATCTTGGCCTTGGCTATTGTACATGGTGAGGACAGTGCAAATAATGGTCCCCTTCTTGCTCCTGTGGGCTCAAGCGCTCCTTTGTGGGGAGCGGATGCAGGGTGGGAGCTGCCTCTCTGAGTCCCAGCTGAGATTTGTTGTCCCTGCCAAAGTAAGGAAGGGATGTTTGTTAATGAAGGAAAGCCTAGACCTGGCTTTCTGCTCGATTCTCATGTCACCTGGCCTTGAGCAGCTTTCTGGGTTTTGGGAAGTGTGTGGTGGCAGAGTGCAATGTTCTGTTCTTCCTGCTTTCTCCATGTGGGTTTCACAAGGTGACTGGCACTTTCTAGTAATGGGAAACTATGCTGTCAGCTTGCCCTTCCTCTTTAATCTTTCCCAGTCATGCTGCTGAGGTCTGAGCAGATGACAGGCAGCCTGGGAAGGGGATAGGATTGGGAGTGACGCCTCCCATCTCCCCACTGGTCCTGGCAAGCCCCAGGTCTAATGTGCTGTTTGTTCTGCCTGCCCTTCCTCCCTCCCCCTGCTCCTGCCAACGCTGTTACCTGTCTCAGGGAAGTCCATGGACTACATGCGCTGCCTGTACTTCCGCATGAAGGACATGGTGTTCCGGGGGTCTCGGCCCTACGAGTCGGAGCCCCTGGATGAGTTCTTGAAGAAGGAGTTTGGGGAAAACACCAAAATGACAGATGTCCAAAAGCCCAAGTAAGTCCTGCCTGGGGCTGTGCTGGTTCCTGCTCTCCTGAGTGTGCCCTAGACTCCTCTCAGCAGAGATGCTCAGCTTCTCCTTAGAGCAGATCTGGAATAGTGTGATGTGCAGACTATTGAAGCCATAAGTATGTTTTTTTTTCCATTTTACTGTTATTCTGCCTTCTCCTCCAGGGTTATGGTGACAGGGACATTATGTGACCGGCAGCCAGCTGAGCTCCACCTTTTCCGGAATTATCCCGTACCAGAGACAAAAACCTCCACTGAATACAAGACAAGCGCATCTTTCAAACCACTCACTCAGCCAGAAGGTAAATGCTGGCACACAGCAGTCCACCTGGTTGTCAGGGGAGGGGGCTGTCCCTCAGAGACAGAAGATTTCGTGTTCTTCCTCATTGTTCTGAAAATCGGGGTGTCCCACCAATGGCTTATCCCTGATCTTGACTTGTAGCTTAGTCCTACTGTTGGTTCCCTTTTCTCCTCCCTCTTCCTCCCTTGGCTTCTCTTGTACCAGCAGCAGTACTAGTGAGGTTCATGAAGAAGGGGTCTGCTGGAGGAGTCCTGTGCATAGTCAGTACCTTTCCCTGGGCTCTCAGGAGCAGATTAGTATGGAGAAGCTGTGTAACTGAAGCATGCAGCCCCCTCCAGCTCGCTTCTTTGTTTGTCCAGCAAACATAACTGGTTCACCATCAAAATAGCAGCAATGAAGCTGTTGGTGAGTGAATTTGACCCAGGATACATAGCAAGTGGTGAGAAATCTTTGAAAGCCCCCCCAAAATATATATGCATCCAAGCGGAGGCCCTACTGTTGGGAGAAAGAGGCATGACTATCTAGGGCAGGGTCTTCTGGGATTGCAAGCCGTCCTGCTTTGTGTTGGTGAAGGTAGGGTGCTGCTTGCACACAGGAAAGTTGCTGCAAGAGGCCGTATGCTTTTTCTCCCTCCAGACCAACTTGTATGGCGCGCTGCCCGGTGCAGTGGTGCGGCTCCCACTTATTTCCGGCCAATAGGCCGCTTTCTGGATGGTGGACTGCTAGCCAACAACCCGACCCTTGATGCCATGACGGAGATCCATGAGTACAACAAGACGCTGATCAAAAAGGTGAGGGAAATCCTGGCTCTGCTAGGTAACTGGGGCTTTATTGGGTTCACCGAGATGAATGGGTGATGGGATGCTTCCTCAGTGGATAAAATAATTTAGCAGTGCAGCATGCAGGAAGAGAGTTTATGGAGGCGGATATGTGTTGGGAATGGTGGCTGAGCAGTGAAGAAGAGGTGTGAGACAGGGAGGCAGCCCCATCAGCCTGTCCTTGCTACTTTGAGCAAGGATGATTCAGTTGTATGTGGCCCTTGAGGCAAAAATGAATGGAGAAGACAATGGTAGGGCACTCTGCAAGGCTGAAGAGTGAATGCCTTCTGTGGTGTGACAAGTTCCTCAGAAAGATGACTAACTACTGGCAGCTACTGCTCCCTGTGGTTGAAAGAGGAGGTGTGTTGCCAAGATGACTGAAAGAGTTGGACTGTTTCACAGTCATCTGGTCCTAGGGCTCATCTTTGGGGTTTGGGTGCAGCCATGTGTGTAAGGGACAGAACAGTGAAACTGTTGAAGTCATGTGGGTTATACCTGTCTCACCTGGCAGTACTAGAGGGGGAGGATGGGGAAGACAAAAGGCTACTGAGCCTTTTGCCTTGGCTTTCAGAGCTTCCTCGAAACTGCTGTGGCAGACATGCTCTGCCTTAATTGTTGGTCCTGGCAAACAAATCTTTTGTTTGTCCACAGGGTCAGAGGCAGAGAGTGAGAAAACTGGGGTTGGTGGTCTCCCTGGGGACAGGGAAGCCTCCGCAGGTCCCAGTGAGCTCTGTGGATGTTTTCCGCCCCTCCAACCCTTGGGAGCTGGCAAAGACTGTCTTTGGAGCCAGGGAGCTTGGCAAGATGGTGGTGGATTGTGTGAGTACTGGGATGGGGGAAGACCCCTGGTGCTGCTTGCAGGGAGGGAGCGAAGGTTTCCAGTCTTCAGCTTCTTCCTTTTGGAAGAAAATTTTATTTCCTTGGAACTGCTCTGATCATGGCTAGTTCAAGGAATGGATGTAGTGGGTAACCTAAGAATTGTGTGAGTGCAGCAGGTCTGAAGCCCTTGCCTGCCTGTTTGGGGTTTCAAGTGCCAAGGGAGGTGCAGTTCCTGCAACTGTAAGGAGCTAAGGTGTGGGAGAGCTGAGGACAGGATGGTGGTCAGTGACCCCTAGGCACATTTGCAGGTGTGAGTACATGAAACTCAGTATCTTTCCAGGGAGTGTTGATTATCATCTGAGAGCAACCTGGACCAAAAAAAATCACCCCTCAGAAAACAGCAATTAATTTTTCTTTAGAAAAGCTTTGTTATCCCCACTGAGGAAATTAGCAAATGCTAGAGAAGTGGGAATATCACTAATAAAAAGCAGTAGTTCAGAGATGTGGTTAGGAGCATGTAATAGGCATATGTTCCTGGATCCTTCGGAAAGAAGCTCATTAAATGTTGTACATGAAAACACTCCAAATGAATGAAAGCCACAAAGATCAGAACTGAGGTTTTGACTATAATCTTAATTCTGATGCTTTATGTCCTTTTAGCTTCCTAAAGCCAGAAATACCTAGAGAGGTCCCTCTGCTTCCCCTGCCTTTTATTTCATAGCTCCCAGGGAAGCTGTCACAGGATATCCCAGAAAGCCTGTGAGAATCGCAGGCTGTATTGGTGCTGGGCTTGGACAGAAATGGATAGAGATTAAACCCCAAGGAGGCTGTGATTTAGATCATCCTGGGTATTTCTTTTAAGGGAACCTACTGGTGCTGTGATGGATGGAGGGTCTGTAGGGTGCAATTCCTTGTGTCCCAAGGATCCAGGAGCGCTGTCCTTATGTTAAACAAACAAACAAAAACAAAAAGCCACCCCACTCTTGGTGGTGAATGTTGCCATCCAGAATGCACTTGCTCCTGGTTTTCCCTCTCCCTCTGCGGCTTGTGCAAGTTTGACTTGGTGCCAGGGAAGCCTCTTGCAGGCGGCGGAGAGCAGCGTGACAGGCTCTAACTGTGGGCCTGTTTCTCCTGCAGTGCACTGACGCAGATGGCCCAGCTGTGGATCGTGCCAGAGCCTGGTGCGAGATGACAGATGTCCCATATTTCCGGTAGGAGCTTCCTTTCCGCTCTCTGCACCGACCTATTTTTAGCCCTCTCACTTCAGACCTGGCTGTGGCATGCGTCATCCCAAATTGTGTCCCCTCTAGCGGCACGCCAGCCCAGACCTGTCCCCCTGTCCCCTCTCCTCATGCCTCAGTGATGTATCGGAGGATGCCATGGCTCACTCGATGAGCTGATGCATAGAGCATGCCTTGTCTGGGGTTGGTTGGTGGGGGTTTGAGGGATGCTGTCTAACAGGGTCCTTCGGGGATGTGCATCCTCCCCTATTCCACCACACACAGCGTGTTTTGAGGCTCGTGCCGTAGGTGGTGCACGTGCTGAACTGAGTCACAGCCTTGAGTACGGTTGGGCCTTGAAGGAGGGGGAAGGCCTCTGCTTGGCAAGCCTGCTAGGTAACAGAAAGTGAATGCCCAGGATGACGGGAGCCGCTTCTACACAAGTCTTGCACCTGGCACCCTTGCTGCCTTGTTGCGCTCGCGTTTGTGCCCAGCTGGTGATGTTGTCTTGCTGTATGCAGGCTCAGCCCTCAGCTGCACACGGAGGTGATGTTGGATGAGGTGAACGACACTGTGCTGGTTAACGCTCTGTGGGACACCCAGCTTTACATCTACCAGCAGCGGGAGCAATTTGAGCAGCTGGTGCAACATCTCTCCCAATGACTGACCTGGAGGTTCCCATTCTGCGTGCCCATGGCAAGGAGCAGCAGACACTGAAGTGGCTGGGATTTGCCCTTGAACCAAGATGTCGAGGTGGGGGAGGGACTATTACTACTGCTGCTACTGAGAAAGTAATGATATTTAATAGACAACAGTGCACATACACATGTATTCCCAGATGGCTGTGAAATGCTGACAGTTATCTTCATGCTGCAGCCCCATCTCTGCTGCTGTGCTCGGTTTTGCTGCCCTGCTCTCTGACCATGCAGCCCTTCTCACAAGCCAGAGCCCCCACCTACCTGTCTTGAGCTGTAGCAGCTGGAGTCTGTCTCCTGTCTGTGCAGCACCTCCACTCACAAAGCACCGTGCACCTTCCTATGTCACAGGACGGGCCAAGGCCAGATAAAGCTGCAAGGATTACTTGGCCCACTGGGGCCAAGCTGGTTTGGAGTGTATAGTATGGGGAAAAAGGGATTATTCTTCCCTCAACACACCTGGTTTGAAGGGAAGCAGAAACATTGCAACTTCCTGCGGTAGATATGACGCAGAATCTTGCAACTGGCCTTGGGAGAAGGAGGAACCTTTCCTGACCCTGTTGTCTTCTGTAGCCCCTTTCCCTCTGAGATGGGCTGGCAACACAGATGCTGGCTGTGCTCAGTGTGGGACCAGGCCCCCCAAGCCTGTTTTGTGCCACCTGACTTGCTGCGCTACTCTTTGCTCAAGGGCTGAAATGTGAAAGCCTGTCTTTTACTCGCAGCAAGCCCAAGATAAGGAATGGTAGCCTTGGCTTGGTACAGACATCATTTCAGAGATCATTTTTCTTTATTCTTGATGTGGAATTGAAATGCTCTGAGATCGGTTCCCACCAAAGAAGCTGACCCTGTGACAATTTGGATTTACTTTTTTTACTGCTGGAAATCCCATTGTGAATGCTACACTACTCAGTGTTTCTGCAGTAAATTTTGCATACTTATAACTTATGTATCTATTTGGAGGTGTTTTTAGGAGTAACCTGAAAAACTGAATTCTTAATCATTTACTTTTGACTGGATGGACTGCTGTTGTCAACAGTGTTTCTATGCAAAGCTAACATGACCTAAAATAAAGAGAGGTTTGCACTTGGTTCCACTGTCATGCAGTCCATGGTTGTCTTGTCTCTCCCTCCATCCTGCAAAGTCCCCGAGGGGTTCTGATCTTGCAGTCTCTCAATTTCTTACAGGTAGAAAATGAGGATGCAGGATTATACCCCTTGTACGGGCTGAAGAGGTGAATGGCCTGCCCCTGCGGCCAGCCCTGGGAGCACGTGTGTGGTGTGAGTGGCTGGCTGGCCCACAGAGCACAACAGTGCACGCTGCGCTTCTCTGTTGCAGCCAGTGGAGAGGCTTTGTACCCACTCCCATGTGAGAGTCCTCTTGGAGCTGGTCAGGCCTAGAAAGAGGAACACTGAAATCCCTCAGGATACAAATGACTGGAGATGGGGCTTTAATTCTGGTATCCCAAGGTGGTTCCTGGACAAGTTAACTGCTGCAGGCCTGCTGGACCTGGTGCCTACTAATTCCTAAGGGACAACCACTGGCCAGGAGTTGATTATCTGTCTTCTGATCATCACTTCACAAATGAGATTGTGGAATTAAGGGGCTCTTCTTGTAGAATAAAGGTTTTATTTTTCCTACTTAACAGGAGGGGCTTACCTTCCTGTGCAAAAAAACCAAAACCCCCCCATCTTGGGATGGAGAGGACATGAGCTCCCTTCTGCTTTTTGCCCCTGGGTTGTATTTTCCCCTTCTCTTTATAAGCCTGCATCATCTGCAGGGACTTCCCAGAGTGATGCAGCACTCGGGCTCCTTGCACGCAGGCACGGAGAGCAGGAGGGTTCAGGCACAAGCTCATGCCTGCCGTTAGGGAGTCTCATTGATAGGGGGAGGGGTGCTAAGAGGGAGCCCCAGGGGGCTGAGGTCTGGGGTGGAGGAATTGTGGGCAGGGAAGAGGTGAAACCTGTTCTGAGCTTTCCTTAGTTTCCCCCCAGCCCTGCTGTTTGCTGCCTGCGAGCGCAAACTGTGCCAGTGACCTGAAGATGCTCAGCTGGCACAGTGAGGCCGAACGAGCCACCTCCGAGCAGCATCAGCGAGGGAGGCAGCGAGCCATAAGGCGGTTACTTGGGCAGGTGCCTGGCTCCGCAGGTGTCGGGGCAGGGAGAGCTGGGTACCGAGCCGACAATCAATAATTCAAGGAGGTGGTCACATGCCCTTGCTGGCTGTCACAGGATTCCTCTCTCCCCAGAGTCCAGTTACTTCCAGAGATCAAGTTCCAGCCTCTTGGCTGGTGAATTATTAAACTCCAGCAGTGCTCCGTTCCCTTTGTACCACGTCTGTGTCTTCCTGCTGTCCTACCTCGCCAGTGACGGGCTCTTCCCATCCAGCTGGCTTTGGAGAAGCAGAGTCCTCCGGGCCAGTATAGCACCTTGTGCTCTCCTTTGCTCCTTGCTTCTTTGTGGGAGACGGAAAAGGCTCTGGAGATGGACCTGTCCTACAGATCCACCATCTCCATCTATAAGGTGAGTGCTGGCACCAAAGGCTGCTCCTGTCTGCCTAGGGGAGAGATGTGGTGGGAGGAGAAGAGCTGTTTTCTGCCGAAGGCTGCCTTGGGTGGACAGCCGAGGGCTGGATCCATCCCCAGGATGAAATGCAGCAGTTCCTGTGGACTCTGGGCTGTGTTTGAGAGCAGATAGCTGACAGGAGGGGAGGGTGGCGTGGGTCTTTAAGGCAGATCCAGGAAGAAATTGGGAAACCAGTGTGGTTTGGACACAGAGCATGAAGGGTGACATGCCTTGGTTGCCAGTAGGAAGGAGGAGTTCAGTTGGCTATTTTCCCCTTTGCTGGAAAGAGCAGTCTGATCTCACAAACACTTCCCTATGCATATCAGTGCTGCACCAAAGTGGTCAGGACTGGAAGAAGGAGGAATTGCTTATTCCAGCCTCTGGTCTGCTCTGCTGTAGGCAATAAACACCTTTGATACATACAGCAGGTAAGAGCGAAGGGGTTGGTCTGGAGCAGTCCATCCCTCTCTTACCAAGATGCTGACTCTGGCAGTGCACCAACTCCTGGCCAGGAAAAAGTCGATTTTGTGCCTGGATAAATAAGTGTGGCTCTCACCCCAACAGGCTCAGGGGTGAGGGAAAAGGCTGCTCAGATCCCCTTGCAGTTACTCCCCTGTCTGCAGTGGGTGTGGGGCTTGGGAGAAAGCCATCTTCAGGTGACCACCTGGCTCTCCAGCGAGCTACCTTGCCTTCTGGCATTGCTCCTCTCCCAGCTGGCTGGAGAGGACTCAGGGCAGTCAGAGGTCCCAGCTACCTCTGATGCAGGCAGCGACTTTGTGCACGGCTGTACATGACCATGGCCATCCAGTGTCATCACTGGGGGAGCTCTCTAGGTCCCTGCTGCACCCAGACAAACTGCAGCGGGAGGGCATCAACCTGCTAAGGTCTCTGGGGCATGGGGAAGACTGGTGTTAATGTGCTTCTGCCTGGCCACAGAGTATCCTGGAGCAGTTCAACCCTGCGCTAGAGAACCTGGTGTACCTGGGGAACAACTACCTGCGTGCCTTCCATGGTGAGTGGGGTCCTGCAAGGCCCAAGTTCCAGATGGTGCTGCTGTGTCCATCCTGGGTGTCCACTGTGCATCAGGAGAGACTGCTGCCACCCAGGGCAAGGCTGCTACTCCCCTGCCATGGCATGTCCTCAGCTGCTCTTACTCACTTTTCTCCTGCTCCAAGACCCGCTGCTGTTATTAGGCACGGATGGGGAGAGATGGGATGCCCTTGCCTATAGGCGAGGTACCAGGGGGTGGCTGTCCTGTGTGCTGCTTGCTGGGGCTGGTGATGGTGGGAAGACAGGCCAGATGCTTACCTCCCCTCTCCTCTCCTCACAGCATTATCCAAAGCGGCTGAAGTGTATTTTAAGGCAGTTGAGAAGATTGGGGAGCAAGCGCTGCAGAGTTCCACCTCACACGTGCTGGGTAAGACTCTCCCATTTGCCACCTTCTCTCCTGTGATGAGCCACAGTTACATTTTTTTGGCCTTCCCCATTAGCTAGTCCCTTTCCAGGTACTGGGGAAGGGAGACAGCTCCTCTTAATGATGTCTCACAGTGCCAGGCCCTACCCACACAAGTAAAAGTAAAATTTACTGTGTATCCTTGAATATCCTCCAAGGCCCCAGCACTCTCCCCTGTCTCTCTCTGAGATCCATAACTGAGCCCAGCTCCTGGGATGGACCTTCAGCGATGGACTTCTCATGGAAACCTGTCCTTGCTGAGGCATCCTGGCCTGAGAGATGAAGTTTTCATCTTGGAGGAACCGTTTTGCTCTGCCTTGCACGTGTGAGGGAAAAGCTGGAGAGCATGGACCGACAACAGCTGATGGGGTGTTGTCCTCCTGAGCCTGTAGCCAGCTGAAATGGCAGCTTGGAGCTGAGGGGCTTACACTGAGCAGTGCAAATAATTCTGCAGCCTAACGACGGCTGCTGAAAATATGTTCAGGGAACTGCTCAGATACTTAACATTTTAGTAAAAAACTTCCAGCAGATGTGTCCTTTCTGCAGACTCCTACTGTCATCTGCACCACCCAGCTCATGCTTCTGCTCCCTGTCATCAGTCTGTTCCCTTCACAGTTTTGTAATACTAACACCGGTGAAGCGGGACTGCACACAGCATCAGCAGCATCAGTGCTGTAGCTACTTTCCTGTAGGACATCCAGAATCGTGCACCGTAGCTGGGGTGCCATTGGGGGTGGAAATGGGGCTCATAGGGCCTGCGACAGAGCAGAAACTCAACACCCAGAGCCCACAGCAGAGCCGAGGCTGCCTGCCAGCACCACGGGCTGTAGCAGAGCGCTGGTCTGTCAAGTTCATGGGCTGGAGCAACCCCACACTGGCAGTGCCTGGGGAGTGGTGGTGGAGCTGAGCCCTGGGGAGGAACCCTACCAGCCTCTCTCAGGGTGCAGAGCAGTGCATTGCAATATCTGTTGGACTTTCACACCTGTATATCATCAGCCTGAGTTGCACGCTACTGGTCTGCCTCCTTGGGCACACAAGGAAATGGCCATGGGATTTCTCCACCCTCTTCTGTCTCTTCCCCTGAAGGTGAAATTCTGATGCAGATGTCCAATACGCAAAGACTCCTGAGCTCTGATTTGGAAGTTGTGGTGAGTGGTTTTCCCCAGGGGCTGGTGCAGGTGGGGGGAAAAAAGGGACTTCCTTAAGCACAGCATGCTGGCATTTGCCTGATTTGCCCCATCTCCCGCCCTCTGACATGCCTGCTGGCAGTGCCTTCCTCCCCGCTATCCCTGCTGCGTGTGACAGAGGCATGTTACAGAGCTGGCATGCCCACAGCCTGGCTGTTGTTCAATGTTGGGTGCTGTTGGTGGGCTGCCACCATCTCTCCACAAGCGCAGTGGCAGGTGCACAGTAGACTATGCAATGCCTGGCTCTGAAGATGTGGCGAGGCCATCCTCTCTTTCCTTGGGTGGCAGTGGTGGGATGGGAGTGGAGGAGATGCTAACCCTTCCAGACGTTACTGTTTGTGTCCATGCCAAAGCTCGGGGGTTAACAGTCAGGTGCGTGCTGAGTGCCAACTCCCAGGCTGCAGGGCTGCTCCATGGTAGCCCTAATGTGCCCATTTCTGGTTTCTGTATGGGGTCCAGGTGGCAAAGGAGTCACTAGCTCTGTGGGTTTTGCAAGCTACCTCTTCATCTCGTGTGGTGAAGGGGCAAGGGTGACGGCTCCTTCACCTCTTCCAGGCTCAGACCTTCCACGTGGACCTGCTGCAGCACATGGAGAAGAACACCAAAATGGATGTGCACTTCATCAGTGTGAGTGATGAACTCCCTTCTCCTCCTCAAACTTCCTCGTTTCCCTCTCCTGTCTACCCAAGGGCTTTTACTTGAGCACTTGAGGTATTTCCTCAACTTTCTTCAGCGGGAGTTAGGGGGCCTTATCTTCTTCTCTCATCATGGACCAACCCCTGCCCCTAGTTTGGCTGATGATGGAGGGCTAAAGAGCTCAGGCAACTGTTCTCCTTTGTGCAGTGGGACTTGCCAAATGCTTCAAACAGGGCTGAGAGACTTGGCATCCCAAAAGCAGAGTTCCCAGCTTCCCTGAACCACAGCCTTTGCATGGGTGTAGGTCCTGTGCCATTGTGGCGCAGCTGGCCTTGCCAGTGGGTAGCATCATGGAGGGAGACAGAGGTTTGGGGCTTGCTCCCAGCACCAAGGGAGCTGGGCACCAGTTTTTGCTCCTGAGATCCTGAGGCTCATTAGCTCTCTGGGGCCCTTCAAAATGAAGAGAAAGGTAAAGAAAGACTTTTTATAAGAGGTCCAGGTGAAGCCTGGTTTCAGGGGAACTCAGATGCTCAACCACCCATCAGAGGACCCCTGCTGCATCACAGTGTGGCTGGGTCTCTTCGTTCCTCACCCAGCCTGGTTTCTCCCTGGCAGGAGAGCCAGAAGCAGTATGAGCTGGAGTATCAGCGCAGAGCCACCAACCTGGATAAGTGCATGGCAGAGCTGTGGAGAATGGAGAGGGCCCGTGATAAAAATGTCCGGGAGATGAAGGTAAGCAGCGATCGCAGGAAGGGGAGTTGGAAAAAGAACCGGATGATTTATCTGGAGCCAGGACTGATTTCTGAGCAACATTGTCCTTCTTTAAAAGCCACGGGGTTGTCCCCAGTGTTCAAAAGGCATCAGGCTTATCTGGAAAGCAGGAAACTCCTTTTCTACAGGGTGCTGTTGACCTGTGGTGCTCACTCCTGCCAAGCTCTTGCCTCATTTAGCAAGCCACACTGTGCAAGGACTTGGTCCCCTGGCACTCTGCTCTTGCTCCTCTGTGCTGCTCCAGCACTGCCAGTGGACTGGGAAGCTGGTAGACACAATGAC